CAATGTATCCAGCGTCTCCAACCTGACCTCCGCCTTCTGGGTAGAATGGCGTTAAGTTGAATACCACCTGGTAGAATTCTTTTTGTTTCTGAACAACTTTACGGTACTTCACGATTTTCACGTGTGTCGATAACAAATCGTATCCAACGAACTCTTCTACTTCGTCATCACAAATTTGTACCCAGTCATCTGTTGTTATAGCACCGATTTTTCGGTTTTTATCTTTGTATTCGTCGCTTACTTTTTTGAACCCTTCAATATCAGCCGAAAGACCATTTTCACGAGCGATTAATGATGTTAAATCATCCGGGAACCCGTAAGTATCGTATAATTCAAATACCGTTTTCCCGTCAATGATGGTTCCATTTTCCGCTTTGATCTTCGAAATAACCGTTTCAATTCTTTTCAATCCTTGTTCCAGCGTTCTAAAGAAACTTGTTTCCTCTTCTTGAATCACTTTATGGATCAATTCTTTTTGTTTGATCAGTTCCTCGAAAGGATCTCCCATTAAGTCTACAAGAACTGAAGATAGATCTGCAAGGAATGAAGATTTCAAATCAAGAACGGAATATCCATAGCGCACTGCGCGACGAAGAATTCTTCGAATTACGTATCCAGCTTCTTTGTTTGAAGGCAGTTGCCCATCAGCAATTGAGAAAGCGATGGCGCGAACGTGGTCTGCAATTACGCGCAGCGCGATGTCCGTTTGTTCGTTTTCTCCGTATTTCTTTCCAGAAACCTTTTCCATGTGTTGGATCAATGTCTGGAATAAATCTGTATCGTAGTTTGATTGTTTCCCTTGAAGTGCCATTGCCAAACGCTCCAATCCCATTCCTGTGTCTACGTGCATTTCCGGAAGTGGCTCAAGTGATTTATCCGCTTTACGGTTAAATTGCATGAATACATTGTTCCATACCTCAATCACCTGTGGGTCGTCCATATTCACCAAAGATTTTCCATCCACTTTAGCACGCTCTTCATCAGAACGCAGGTCTACGTGGATTTCAGAACAAGGACCGCAAGGACCAACGTCGCCCATTTCCCAGAAGTTATCCTTCTTAGAGGCAAGTATGATTCGATCTTCATCGATGTATTTTTTCCAGATCTCGAGGCTTTCAGTGTCCTGAGGAACACCATCAGCTTGATCACCTTCAAATACAGTTACGTACAATCGATCTTTAGGAATTTTGTAAACATCAGTAAGCAATTCCCACGACCACTGAATTGTTTCACTCTTGAAATAGTCTCCAAACGACCAGTTTCCAAGCATTTCAAACATGGTGTGGTGATAGGTGTCAACACCTACTTCTTCCAGGTCATTGTGCTTACCAGAAACACGCAAACATTTTTGAGAGTTGGCGACACGTCGATCTTTAGGAACAGAATTCCCTAAAAAGAAATCCTTGAACTGGTTCATTCCGGCATTGATA